ACAGGCATGAGCCACTGCGCTCAGCCCCATCCATTCCTACCAGTGCAGCTGGAGGAATCTATTCAAACCAGAAATCTGAGCACATCACTCATTTGTCTTAGCTCTCTGTGGATAAAAGCCAAATCCTTAACATGTTCTGGAAGGTTTCTAGTTAAACTGAACATCTACTACCCGCTTGGCTCTGCCCACATCCTGCTTCCCCTCCTGCTACCATAGATGAGCTCCCGACCCTTTGCTGAGGCCGACGCCTCCATCCCTGCTCTGTTCCACCCGCTTCCTTCCTGAGGACCTTGTTCCTTTTTCATTTCTCTCTCTCTCTCGCCTAATCAACACACACTCCATGCTACATTACTTTCCTGACTGTCTCGTCCATGTCTATCAAATCCATGTCTTGGAACACCTTCCTCACTTAGCTTTTTTTTTTTTTTTTTTTGAGACGGAGCCTCATTCTGTTGCCCAGGCTGGAGTGTAGTGGTGTGATCTCAGCTCACGGCAACCTCCACCTCCTGGGTTCAAGCGATTCTCCTGCCTCAGCCTCACGAGTAGCTTGGACTACAGGCATGCGCCACCTTGCCCAGGTAATTTTTATATTTTTTAGTAGAGACAGGGTTTCACCACGTTGGCCAGGCTAGTCTTGAACTCCTAGCCTCAAGTGATCCACCTGCCTCAGCCTCCCAAAGTGCTGGGATCACAGATGAGAACAACCATGCCCGGCCCCTCACTTAAGCTTCTAAGACATCAATGCTCCTGGTTATCCTGGCAGTTTGCCAAATGTTTGTTCCTTTTGTGGGATCTATAAAAAAAGCTAAGTCTCAAAATATTATACACATTCCAACAAATGGAAAATGTAATCTTACTAAATTCCTGTGAGAAATATCCCAGCACAGAAACTATAATTTCTTGCCACTTTGATGCTGGTATTAGCTAACAGAAAGGTGCCTACTCATGGAATATGCTTCAAATCAGATAAAAGAACAATGTGTGTAGGTTACCACACCCACCACTGTGACGTGAGAGTAACAGACATCAGAATGCAACCCCACAGATGCTCCCAGAACATTCCACAGACTGCAGGTAAACCCTTCGGATCTGCCTCCTGGACTTACTACACGTGGGTGTACAATTACTACAAAAGTCTGAGTAGTACATCTCCTCAAAACAGCACAGAAGTTAGTGTGGAAAATAGCGGAACACTGTCTGGCACTAGAGAATAAAGAGGACAGAAGAAAAAAAAAGCCTCGACATCATCTTTGTGTCCCTTAATATCATACATCTTCTCTCTTTGCTTAGTTAAGGAGGGAAAGAAGGGAGAGAGAAAGAAAGGGAGGGACAAGACCACCTTTTCTTCTCTGGAGCAGAAAAGAAAGCTATCAATAATAAGAGAAACTGCCGGGTGCGGTGGCTCAAGTCTGTAATCCCAGCACTTT